AGAAGGTCAAGGACAACTTCACCTCTCTTTATATTTCCAGTGCCTGTGCCTGTGTCTGACCGAAGATGTTCGATGACTATCTCTTGTTGAACCGATTTATGATAATACTCTGAACCATTGCCAATGCTACAATTTAGTAAGAATTTTGACACATGTCAAGGGTCTCCTTATCAGCCTTTATGACTCAATTATGCTCTTAGTTTCTTCCTTTATGTCTTTCTAAACATTTTTTAAATATATTTTTTAAATTTATTTCTAGGAGAGAGACAGAGAGAGACAGCGTGAGCAGGGGAGGGTCAGAGAGAGAGGGAGACACAGACTCTGAAATAGGCTCCACGCTCTGAGCTGGCAGTCAGCACAGAGCCCGACATGGGGCTCGAACTCACGAACCACGAGATGATGACCTAAGCAAAAGTCAGACACTTAACCAACTAAGCCACCGAGGCGCCCCCTCCTTCATGTCTTTCTACTACCTCTTAATCTGTTACCTTACACTTTACATTGTAAGTTACTTGTAAGTCTGACTCAATCATCAATTCAAATTTTATCTCTTAAATCAGCAAATTTAGCTGTTACTTCTTGTCACTTTTCCAATTTTATTAATTTGTGTTTTTCCATATTGTTAATTTCTTATATTTCCATAAGCCAAAGTATTTTCTGGAATTTTACTTTTTTATTCTATTTATTTTCTCTTTTAATTTATATTTTCCACACCTATTATTTTTGTTAGACATTTCTTAACCTCCATGGGCCAGAGATTTTCTATGTTTGTGGTTTCTCTGATGAATTCATTCAATTCTGCCAATATTTTCTCTATACACTGGCAATGTGCTGGGTTTGTTTGACAACCGAGACCACTGTTTGGTCCTTACAGTCTCAGGGAAAAGTCCATCAGGATATCATGTGGAAATTGTATTAGCTTTTGTCTCTGTGGTCAATTGTAGTTAAGTTCCTGGAATTCTTTTATTTTTAAAAAAATTTTTAATGTTTATTTATTTTTGAGAGAGAGAGATACAGAGTGTGAGTGGGGAAAGGGCAGAGAGAGAGAGAGATACGCAGAATCTGAACCAGGCTCCAGGCTCTGAGCTGTTAGCATAGTGCCTGACATGGGGCTCGAACTCAGGAGCAGGGACATCATGACCTGGGCAGAAATTGGATGCTTAACTGACTGAGCCACCCAGGTAGCCCATGTTCTTGGAATTCTTAATGATCTGCTACTTTCAAGGTATTAGGTCCAGGTGATTGTGTAGCTGATTTTTGTCTACTCTTTAAAACAAAAATACTTTTTACAATCAAGTATTAAAGCACAAAAAAATGTGATGATTTCACAATATGTTCACAAACGTAACATCCTTACCTGGAAAGGTGAGCGGGAACCTAGGTTCCCCTTCTGATTATATGACACATTGAAGTGACTTGCTTCTAATTCATAGAAAGTGGCAGAGATGACAGCGTGTGGAATTCAAAACTAGGTCACAGAGTCTTGGTGGCTAATTTCTCTGCCTGATTTCTCTTTCTCCAAGGAAAATGCTACCACATTTTGAAGAGAGTATCAGTTACTCTCCAGAGAGATGTGTGTGGCAGGGAACTGAGGTGGTACTGGGGTTCTCTCAGGGACAGCTAGCCGGAACGTGTGCAGTAGGGGAGTGAGCCAGCTCTGGGAGGGAAGAGGGAAACTTCTAGCTGTGGGTCAAGCCTTCAGGGGACTGCAGCCTGGGTGTAAATTTTGACTTCAGCCTCATGAGAAGCCCTGGGCCGAACCACCCAGCTAAGTCACTTCTGGATTCCTGACCCCCAGAAACAAAATGAGAGAAGAAATGTTCATGGATTGAAGCTGTTGAGTTTGGGGTAGTTTCTTACATAGCAGTGGATAATAGAGGAGGGTTCCACAGTTAGGGGTTTGAAAGTTACCATGATCTTAATGACATAATCTGAGATGGCTAAACCCAAAAAGAGAAAATCATAGAATGATTTTATGTATGACTAAGTGGGGGAAAAGTCCCCTCTAAAATATGAAAATGTATGCAGCTGGTATTTAAGGCAATACTATAACATGAGCAAGTCAGACTTGGGCTGGGGATGCCAGTATAGATTAACATTACGAAATCTACTTATGTCTCATTGCGGCAGGACAAAGGAGAAAAAGCGCATGATTCCATCAAGTGCCAAAAATTCGTAAATCATTCCTAATAAAAAGTCTTAAGTTTAGAAGGAAACTAATCAGATTACACACACACAGGTAAGCAAACACATTTTTTTATGTCTTGAACTCATGAAGCCACTTCTATGAAAAGAAACAAGACCATGATGACTGAGAACATACCTATATGGCATACAGTTTCTGATTTTAGCTGATACAATAACATGATAAAAGTAATGAATAGAAATAGTTACTGGAATGAATATCAAACCTTTTAATTTGCTAATGGTAGTATTAATGAACTGAAAACCAAGATGGTTCATTAAATATTGATTAGAATCAACAATATGTAGTAATCAGATAGATATAAAGTGCATGTAAATAATCAATTTCTCAATTATCCTCCCCTCCTCCCCCACCAAGTATTTATAACAGTATTTCAGTGGGCTGGCACCTCTCAGAACAGGTTAGAAGGCACAACCTTGTTGTCATCAGCCTTCTAGTTCTTGTGGGAGTTTATGCGGCTTCGGTCACAGTGTGATGCACACCCTCTTTTAGTTATATCAGTTTTCACTTTATTTTATTTATTTTTAATTACATGAGTAATCCATTAACTCTAAAATTCTCAGCCATGATCTTTGAATGCTCACATCTGCTTTGTTCTCTCTTTTCTGGTACAACGATCAGATGCATGTCAGACAATGTTACTACTAATTCCAGATCACTTAAACTCAACTTTTGCATTTTTCTCTCTGCATTTTGGACAATTAATATCTGCTTACAGAGTTCATGAAAATTCTTCATCTGGGTCCAGTTGGCTATTTAGCCCACCTAGCAAGCTTTCATAATTTTAATTTTCTTATAATTAATTGTATATGTGTATCTTTATCTCTAGAATTTGTGTTTGGTTCTTTTTTTCCAAATCTTTGTGGTTAGTCTTTGTATTCTCTTAGTCCCTTAGCATATTTCAAATAGTCTTTGTTTTTAAAGAAATTAAAGTGAGCGACTTGAAATCTGTATCTTTTAATTTCCTTTTTTACTCCTTTTGTTTCCTGCTCTTATTTCTGGTCAAGGTGTCCTGTGGAATTGGGTGCTAGTTTTGTGTGTGAAGCCTCCCAGGCACTGTCTCCCATGGGTTGTGTGTGGGGATTTGTTGAGACCTAACGTGAAGCTCCTTCCGCCAGAGAGGATTTGTATTTGCATTAACCAGGTGCTCAGGGCACAGAGCCAGCTTGGGCTTAACCCCTAAATTACTTCGCAGCCTGGGCGTTGGAATCCCCGTGACACGGGTGCCAGGGACACACGGGCTGCAGCCCACGTCCCAGTGGCGGAGCCCACCTTGCTCAGCACCAAGGCCCCGGGCAGCCTCTTCCTCGCCACCATCTGTGGCGAGTGTGGGTCTGTGCGCACGTGTGTGTCGGCGTGTGTGCCCGTTTCCAGGTCACCTTCTACCCGGAGGATGTAACTGGGCAGGTGTGTCAGCCTCACAGGAAGGATTTCTGATCAGTTTTCTTGGTGAATAATGAAGGAAATAGACATTTTCCCGGTTCCCCGGCAGCTGAAACCCTTCAGGCCACAGGACCTGGTGCGATAGAAACCGCTTCCTGCCCGAAGGGCTGTCCTTCCCTTTCAACCTCCTCGCTGGCCTTGGCCTTGCGTCAGGGTTCCACGGGGGAAGCGGCCATGGTGGGGAGAAGGGGGCCCGGTCCTGGGTAGCAATTGCCTGCCCACAGTCAGACACCTGATGGGACTGAGTGGTGGGCTTCTGTCCTGTGATCCCGAGGACTGTACAGCTGAATGCTTCCCAAAGACTGGAAATGAGGTAGGACTTTCTAGGAGAGGCTGTAGTGACCGACAGGACTTGAAGTCCTCTCAGAGCGGGGACAGCTTCCCTTCCCTGTCGGGCCGTGGGTTGTGGAGACAGCACAGACTCTGTCACCCTCACCCCCCAGAGACGTGCCTTCCCCAGCCTGCTGCTCAGAGCAAGCAGAAATGTGGGCAACTGCAAAGCTGGCCAAGCAGAAACGTCCATGAAAAATTTCGGGGACAACTCACATGGTCTTCAGCTGTTTTCAGTATTACATCTATCCCTTAAGAAGGAAAAGAAGCAAATCTGAGCAGAACAAAGTGTTCTTTTGTGCTCTGGGTAAGCAGTCCTGGCCAAGTCCCTCACCATCGATATGCAGCCCAGCCCAGGGAGTCAAAGCTGTGTACTTGGACTGGGATTTTCATTTCCAATTGTCTAGTTTTGTGTGACTGAAGTAAGAATGGATGTATAGAACCATTTTTGTCCAAAGTGAGCACATAATTTATGGCACGTATGGTTATTGACCCGGTAACTTGCAAATCCTTTCTATACAGCTCTAATTGAAAAGCTGGGAGTTGCAGCTAGATTTAGGTATCACCAGACACCCGAAAATAGCTTTCAGAATGAGGATTACAGCTCATTTATTGAAAGCATGCGTGGCTCTGAAAAGAGCCTTTGGGGTTGGGTAACAAGACGCTTACTTGGCAAGTTCACTTGGAGCTGGTGTACTTGGTGACGGCCTTGGTGCCCTCGGACACGGCGTGCTTGGCCAGCTCGCCGGGCAGCAGCAGGCGCACGGCCGTCTGGATCTCCCGGGACGTGATGGTCGAGCGCTTGTTGTAATGCGCCAGGCGCGACGCCTCGCCCGCGATGCGCTCGAAGATGTCGTTGACGAACGAGTTCATGATGCCCATGGCCTTGGACGAGATGCCCGTGTCGGGGTGCACCTGCTTCAGCACCTTGTACACGTACACCGAGTAGCTCTCCTTGCGGCTGCGCTTGCGCTTCTTGCCGTCCTTCTTCTGCGCCTTGGTCACCGCCTTCTTGGAGCCCTTCTTCGGGGCGGGGGCGGACTTGGCGGGCTCGGGCATCTTGGCGACAAAACCGAAGACACTATGGCTAAAACCTAGAGGAATAATCAGCCGCGCGAAGGTCACGTTTATTTATAGATGCGGTATTCTAATGAGGGTAGTAAGATCATTTGCGATTGGATTAATTTTAGTGTGTTGTCAGAAATGAGAATGTAAAAGACACTTGCAGGTCTAGCTTTTCATTGGCTGCTTTGTTAGTTTTCTTTTACCCAATCAGAAGGTCTAGACTAGGCTACCGGAAGCTACTGTTATGTGAGCCTTGAAGGACATTCCTTGTTTGTTTTTAATCTAGAGTAAGTGAAACCTTCGCGGAGAAATCCTGATTGTGGGTTTTTATGTGAAAACAGCGGCTAGCGGGCTAGTCTAGCTTCCTGCATCGGGGTGGATTTCGCATTATGGACCCCATGGGGCGTTTGATGTCATAGATGCTGGAGCTGGTAGGCAAGTCGATTAAGACGCCCATTATTCTGCGGCCGCTAACCTAATAGCAAAGAACCAGGGATTCTGCCATACGCTTGGCCAGAGGACCCTTTGGATTATGTCTTACCGTCTTCGTTTACTACCACGAGACGGTGCAGAACCGCGGTGGTGAGAGTATTTCCCTAACCTAAGATTGGCAACGATTCATCAAGTGGTGAATTTCGAGGTGGGTAAATCACTACATCCATAAGTAGTATTTCCCAAATTTGTGTGGTTGACGTGTGCAGTTGAGCTCTCCCTTCCCCCACTCCACTCCCAATTACTGCCCTGCCTTTCCGCGTCGAATGGAGTGTGGGCCATTGCGAACCACAGTCCGTAGAGGAGAGGGGTGTTCCAAACAGTTCCCAGACTTTCCAACCCCTACTGAGAACAACTCTCACCGCACCCAGTGCACTTAAGCGTTGCTCTGGAGACCCTCGTCCCGTGCGGAGGCGACCCCTCCTGCGGCGCCCCTCCCGCCACGCCCCCCGATGCTGCCGAGTGCCACAGCTCCTTCCCCTAGCTCTGTGGGTGGCTCTGAAAAGAGCCTTTACAACGTTCTCTACCAGCCCACACGCTTACTTCTTCTTGGCGGCCGCCTTCTTGGGCTTGGCAGCTTTGGGCTTGGCCGCCTTGGGCTTCGGGGCCTTGGCCTTGGCGGGACTCTTCGCCGCCTTCTTGGGTTTGGCCGCCTTCGCCTTCTTGGGGCTCTTGGCCACCTTCTTGGCTGCAGCCGCCGCCGCGGGCTTCTTGGCCTTCTTCGGGGTCTTCTTGGCGCTCTTCTTGGGGGTGCCGGCCCCCGCCGCCTTCTTGGGTTTCTTGGCCGCCCCCGCAGCCTTCTTGGGCTTGGCCGCGCCCGCCTTCTTGGCTTTGGGCTTGGCCTCCCCGGAGGCCGCCTTCTTGTTGAGCTTGAAGGAGCCCGAGGCGCCGGTGCCCTTGGTCTGCACCAGGGTGCCCTTGCTCACCAGGCTCTTGAGGCCCAGCTTGATGCGGCTGTTGTTCTTCTCCACGTCGTAGCCGGCGGCCGCCAGCGCCTTCTTGAGCGCGGCCAGGGACACGCCGCTGCGCTCCTTGGAGGCGGCCACGGCCTTGGTGATGAGCTCGGACACGGGCGGCCCGGACGCCTTGCGCTTGGCGGCGCCTGCGGACTTGCGGGCCTTCTTCTTCACGGGCGTCTTCTCAGCAGGGGCCGGGGCGGCGGGCGCGGCGGGCGCGGTCTCGGACATTCTGGGTTCGGATGCCTGAAGGTACGGAAAACAATAATAATAATAAAGTCTCGGAGTGGATCTGCCCGGCCCTAGTGTGTGTGTGTGTATTTATATACAACAGCGACGCTGCGCGCTGATTGGTTCCCAGCTCAGTCTTGTAACTTGACAGCAATCTAGTCCCAGCTCAGTCCCGGAATTGTGTTTGTTACAATTGAGGAAAGCAAAAAATTTAAAATTTCCCGTGGAGGGATCACATCGATCATACTCTACAGTGATGCGGGACACCTTGTGCTTTCAGATCTTTACGTTTTTTTCTTCCAGATTTTACCATGTTAGTCTCAGCTGTTTTTAAAAACCCCTGACACTTGGAGAGATTCACAGGACAGGGAGATAACTTCATGATTTTCGTTTAAAATATAAATTGTTCTCTCTGTGCCGTCAATAGCTTACTCTCTAGGAACATTCTATACATTCTTGGCATCTCGCACGTTCAACAACTGCTTAGTTCTCATTGAGATTTACCTGGAAAATCTGGTTCATATGAAGAGAAGTAACACAGCCTGTTTCCCTATTTCTCTACAGGAATGGTAGTAAAGGATGCTTGGAGTAAGAGCTAATTCTGTCAAGAACTGTCATTATTTTGTTCAAAAAGCTTTTATCATTGCTTTTAGTGACAATGGGGGGTTGGTTAGTTTGGGGGTTCAAACATTCAGAGTTTTTAGAGGAAATTGGGAAAGGGAAGAACGTATGATCTTGACATTGCTGTTGGGGCTGTTTCCTCGAGAGGACAGGAGATCACAAAGGGTATAAGGGAGAGTTGGACCTCTTTACTGGTTGAAAAAATATTTTATTTACATTGATTTTATTTGGGTGGGATCAGTTACTAAAATGTTTAACAACCTTTGGGTCAGAAATCTGCCATCCTTGAGGAAGACTTATAACATATTAAAGTGACAATCAAGGAATACCCACACGCACATTCACACAGACATCCAGACTTATAGTTCCCTTGTCAGAGGGACAGTTTTTAAAAGTATGTTTTATATTCACTACTACATTTTTTATATACAGTAGGAAACACATTTCAACTTATGCTTAATGTTGAATAGGATATAGATTTACGGTAGAGGTGATGTAATGGTTTTCTTCACTCTTCAAATTCTCTCTTTGTCTTTAACAAATTATTATATTTATTTTGAAACACATACCAGTCTCTGGTTCACTAGGATGGAGAAAGAAAGAAATGTGAAGACACAGGGCAAACCCCAAGAGATGAGCGTTCCACACTCCTTTTTGATCCCTCCAAAATCTGGAAATGACCGATTACTTCCTGCAGCATGAAAGGTTAATTATTGAGTTAAATATTAAGTACTAATATGATTCACAGAGGTGAGGTGAGATGTCTGCTCAGCATAAATCATTGTTATGTGTACCTTGTGTATTCCCTTGTTATGGAGTTTAGGTATATCTCATCCTCCTAAAGTGGCTTGATTCATTATGCTTGACTTTGAAACTCATTTGAATATTCATTGCCAGCAATGAGGAGTAGGACCTGGAGAGAGGCTTCGCCACAAGAAGGCTATGGCAACGTGATAGGAATCAGTTCAGACAAGACACAGAAAGCCAGAATTACAACCGTAATGGAGAAATAAAAGAGATACTTTACCAAGAAAGGAAGAGTTGTCTTTTGATGGCCTGAATGTAGGGAATCTGCCCCATTCACTTTCATGGGTTAATGAGTTACCTTTATATGGATAACTTCAAAGTCTGTCTCTTAGGTCTATTGCCTAAATGTCAAATTTGTATTTCTGGGTGCTTGCTGGGTATTTGCCTTTGCACCTCCATTTACCAGAGAACTCTCTCTCTATAACCTCTTTGCTACTGATAAGTGGAGAATATCATTGCCTTTTTACCCTTATCAGATATTGGTACTAACATATGATTTTCATTCCAACATTCACGGCATTTCCCCATGCTCCTCTCGGCACATTTTCCAAACCCAGGGTCTTTCAAGGCTCTAAGATCCCAAAGAAGGCTTATTTATGATTTCGTGTCATAGTCTTCTTTGTATATCTGATGACATTTCTGGGCTCCTTCCCAGGACAATGCTTTTAAATGCTTAAGATAATATACACAGGATTTACAAAGGAAAAGAATTATATTAAAATACCAACATCCAATTTGTCAAAACCCAAAAGTGTTGAAGTGTTAACATATGTTTCTTTATTAATACAATTAAAGTACCAAGGCTGCCCTTGTGGCCAACAATTACCCACGTTTAGAAGGGGTGATACGCTTCAAAGATACTGGAAGTAGTGACAGGTGTACCTTAGGTGAGAATACATCACGGGTCCTGCCGGTCACTCTGCTGGCTGCCTGCATTCGTCAGTGGACAGAACGCCAGGGGTCAGGCAGCGGATAGCACAAATAAGGACGGAAGTTTTGTTCTGTACAACTTCCTAGATGTCCTGAAGCCTGCCAATGTAGCCGAGGGCGAGAGCCCCACTGTGGAATTTGTCCCCATGCACCATGAAGTCAGAAAAGCAGCTTTGATGAGCTAGGTGGTCCTCACAGACCCTGGGCGAGAAGCCAAATGTCCACAAAGTCCCCTGGAACTCCTCAAAGGGATTCGTGACAGAGTAAATCTTTAGGTGTTTATGATTGGAAGGAGTTCTCAAAAGAAAGTTGTAGAAACTAGGATGCTCTTTTAGTTTAGGAGATACACCCACCTTAGAGGAGTGAATACTGAGGAGAGGAGCAGAGAGCACAATAATATATTATAACGTTGAGTGAGTGCTTATTTGCAGTATCAAACACTTTACATGCATCCTCTCTTAAGCTTCGATGCTGTATAATTTAGATTTTCTTATATATATATATATTTTTTTTCTTATATATTTGAAAAGAAAACACCGAGTATAGACTGTCCCAGGTCTACAAAGAGCATGGCAGCAGGCCGTCTCCAGAGCTTGGCTCTACGCCATGCCGACTGCGTGGACGACTTGAATGGGGTTCAGGAACAGTGCTAGATGTAAGTCGTCCATTAGGAACTCTGCACTGTGATCATACACTTGAGACTCACGGCAGAACAGGGTTGTGAGCACTTTCATGCAGTGAGTCTTGGTTAGTGAACCAGACATCCATGCATCAATAAGACAAAAAGAAACTTAGCAATAAAGACAGGATTAGCCTCAAAGCTTCCTTAAAGCGTCTCAGGGACAACGGCGAGTATTAAGCAAGTGTTTCTGGGTTGGTCTGGGAACCGTGAAGGCCAAGCCTGAGGCTCCTCTGTGAGAAGTGTATGGACTGTGGCCGGGCGTACAGGCTGCAAGTCGGGCGCGCACACAGGATTTCTGGCATCTCCTCCGGGACAGACTGCGGCCTCAGGGCCCCCATCGGGTCTATGCAGCGCGGAGCCCCGCGAAATGAGCGATGGGCGGGACCGGAGTGTGGTTCCCGCCCCTGCTCGGGAGGTTTTCAAACAGGTCCGTCGCAGTGCTATAAAAGGGCTGCGTGGCGCTGCTGCAAGTCGTACTTGGACAGGCGTCCTGTGTAGTGGTGACAATGTCCGGCCGCGGCAAGGGCGGGAAGGGCCTGGGCAAGGGCGGCGCCAAGCGCCACCGCAAGGTGCTGCGCGACAACATCCAGGGCATCACGAAGCCCGCCATCCGGCGGCTGGCCCGGCGCGGCGGCGTCAAGCGCATCTCCGGCCTCATCTACGAGGAGACGCGCGGGGTGCTCAAGGTGTTCCTGGAGAACGTGATCCGGGACGCCGTCACCTACACGGAGCACGCCAAGCGCAAGACGGTCACGGCCATGGACGTGGTCTACGCGCTCAAGCGCCAGGGCCGCACCCTCTACGGCTTCGGGGGCTAAACGTTTTGCGTTTGTCACCAGAAACCGTGCAATTCTCAACCAAAGGCCCTTTTCAGGGCCACCTACTGTATCCACCGGAAGCGTTGTGCACTCTGGTTGCTTTCCCCGTTCGCGATTTCGCTACGGCTGCATGCAGTGCCTTCTGATATTTTGACTTAAAGTTGGTCTTCCCAAGTTGGTTTATTCTGCATTTCAGGTGCTCTCAGGCCCTGAAAGGTGAATCCGATTATCAGCCTGTAGTAAGTTGTGCGTTTGGTTCCACGTGTTCCTTGCGTGTCTGAGGTGGTCTTGCTGAGCGGCTGGTTTAATAGATTTCTGAACATGCTGGTTCGTTTTCCCGTATAATCTTGTACTCGCTTATGATTCCTCAGATTTGTGTTACCCGCTGGGATGGCAATACCGCGAGGCTGGTCATGTGCCTTTAGGTCCTAGCGGTCATGTTTCAGATCCCACCTTTGTCAGGAAATGCGTACTCAATTAGTCCACAAATGGGTCACCCATTATTAGGGGCTGTAAACCTTGAGTGTCACATCTGTCAACATTGCCACCGTTTCCTTTGATAGGTTCACAATAGGTTGGCTTTGTGAAGAATCTTAGGGGATTATTGTGCTGTTGACTGGCCTATTTCCAGTAAAATGTGTTCAGGGGACTATCAAGGCACAGCGAAATATGTACGTCTATAGCCTTAGGCAATGGCTTTTCTGGCTGCAGAGGTTAGGCGGTGACCAAGGGGCCCGAGATGAGTCAGAAGACACTCCCAGGTTTAGGCTTTACAACTTTCTTCCCTCTTATCTGGTAAGAAGGTGTTGACCTTGGCTGATCTAGGAAAAAGCTTAGATCCTTTGGGAATCACAAAACAAGGACTTGAAGAAAAAATAGTCCTGGATTCATCAGGAGGAGATGGGTTTTTCACAGCAGATCTTTTCTGCGTGACACGAATACCTGGCTTAAAGCTAATTTATTTTTGAGTCTGTTATAGCTGCTTAACTTTACAAACTAAATACAGTTTTGTTTTCCCAATTTATGTGGCAGGGTGGACAGTACCTCAATGACCTGAAAATGCTTTGAAGGAAAGCTGATTCTAAGTGGGCCTTTGTCTTTGGGATGTGTTCCACCGGGTTCCATCTGGACAAACATGAAATAAGGGCTTACTGTTAGACCTCCCTTTCCAAAGGAGAATCACGGAGAACAAAGCCCACAAAACACAAAAGGGGTTGGTTATTCAGGTTTATTTTAGTCCAGCCGGATGGCCCCTCCCAAGCACCCGAAAGGCCCTCAGAAGAGAATCCCGCTGAGCCATAGCTCAGGGTTTATATAGGGAGAGGGGGGAAGCAAGTGTACAGAAGTGAGAATTTTGAGGTTAGAGGTGGGGGTTGCTTAACAGTTGCTTGAAAAACATGTTTGACTGTTTTAATCACAATGTTTGTTAGAGATGTACATCTCAGGTACTTGCTGAAGCCAGGAGGAGCCAGGTTGCTCAACCCCTGACCTTTTTACCAGAATAGAGTTTGAGATCAAACAATGGTTGGTATTTCCTCATTTACAGGCCCCTCACCTTTTGGCCTAAGGGAGTTTTTACATTATGATGTGTTAGAAATGCGTGGACTCTGCAAACATCTTAGCCATGGTAATCTGGATATTTGAAAGTACTGTCTTCCCTTGGTAGAGTCGATCTTCACAATTAGTGAATCCTGGGGCGCCTGGGTGGCTTAGTCGGTTAAGCGTCTGACTTTCGCTTAGGTCATGATCTCGCGGTTCGTGGGTTCGAGCCCCGCGTCTGGCTCTGTGCTGACTGCCAGCTCAGAGCCTGGAGCCTGTTTCAGTCTGTGACTCCCTCTCTCTCTGACCCTCCCCTGCTCACACTGTCTCTCTCTCTCTCTCTCTCCTAGAAATAAAAAAAAAAAAAAATTAAAAAAAAAAAACAATTAGTGAATCCTAAGCTCTTTGAGAATCTATTTAGGGGCTCAAGTCCCTTCCGAGCCTCATTCAAGGAACTCCCAGGGCTCCATGGATTCTTGTTAACAACCTGGAGTCTAGGATTTCAGGATCTGAGATATAGAGATTCAGAATTGAAGAGAGGAAAAGGCACACACAGTAGAGAGATAACAGAGTGAACAACAATAATGCCCCTATTTATTCTCTATGGGCAGCAGACGTAGCTATTCTTGAGAAGTTAGTTTGGAAATACAAGATAGTCCAAGCTGAGAAATTTTGATTTTCATAGGCCTGACGTCCCAACTGACTGAATCTCACATGATTTGGAAGTACATAAAAATGATGAGTTGATTTTCAGCCCGGTTCTGGAAGAAGTCCATGAATTTTTCTTAAGGCCCTTTGGACTTGTCCTCCATTGCCAGTCTTGAAAAAATATAATAACAAGCCCTAACTTTGTAGTAGTCTATGTCCTTGAGCAATTCATGTATTAAGTTTACAAGTTTCCAATATCCCTTCAGAGATAAAAAAAAAAAAAAAAGAAAAAGAAAAAGAAACTGAAGACCTTGTCCAGAGAGATGCTTCCTGTCTGTGCTTGTGATGCCGTTGGCAAGCTCACTTGTGTCTGTTTTCTCATCTGTAACATGGCGATGACAATAGTGTCTGCCTTACAGGTTTGGGGTGAATAAAATTAAATAATTGGTGAGCATTTTGTCCAGTGCATGTCACACGGTGTCTTCTCTGTTTTGTCTTTTATTATGACTGCTATTATTATTGTTGTTGTTTCTCATGAAATTAGAGAGGCCCCGAGAAAAAAAAAGGTGACATTTAAACTGTGACACATACTCTTCAAGTCCTCAACTGCCTTCTGGTATCTTTATGTTCTGTGGGAAATCACTAACCACTACTGTCATCTATGATGCAGGGGAAGTTTCATATTTTTTCCAGGTTTGAGTGAGAAAACCCAGGATAAATAGCACGTTCACAGTGTGTGTTCAACAAATACGAGTTTACATACATTCTTAAGAAGTTCCAAGTGTATTAATGAACATTTTATGAATACAACCAGAAAAACTCAACTCCAGGTAATTAAAAAAACTCCCCCTGACCACTCCCCCCCAAACACAAAATTAAGCAAAAAAATTAAGTCTTTTGAAAGGGAAGTTCTCAACCAATAAAGAAATTGCTGGGTCCTCAAGTCTTTCTCTTCTGTCCTTTTCCCTACTTTCTAGGAAAGTAGATTTGATAGATGTAGCTGGGCTGGTGCTGGCTCCAATCAGATATGATGGCCCTAAAGAAAGAGTGACAACATATGTCCCACTCTTATGTCCCCTGGGCGAGGCAACTCTCCGGAGTCCATAAGCTGTCCCAAATGTCTGGGTTGCCCTTTATTCCCAGTAACTTGAATTCCCCATGGGTTCCATTTACATCCATGTCCGTAGACATCACACCAGGCTGGTCGTGTCCTCCCTGAAACACTATTTTCTTGACTTCTGTGGCTCTAATCTCCTGGGTTTTGTCCATTTAGAATCTTTGGCTGTCTTCTTGCTCTCTAAAGTTTGGAGTGCTTTTTTATCTATGGGAAAATTTCAATTCTATTACGTGCCATCAATAGTAAAATGTCTATTTCCAAACCCTTCACAATTTCTATAATCAGTCCCCAAGTTGCTCTGATTCCCAGATTCTCATATACAACTACCCACTTGCTACCTTCAGTGGAATGCTTAAGGATTTAAAATTTGTCATGTTCCAGTCTCTGAAACCGCATCCTCTCCTGTAATTCTTGATCATCATGCAAGAATTTCAGCAGCACTGTAAGGTGTGGATAAGCCTACAACGTGGGGCACACATATTGGTTCTCACCCCCGCCCCATACGCAGCTCATCCCAGCTCATCATCAATTAGAAGGATAGAATACTTGTGTCTAAATAATGTAGATGTTGAGATGTTAAAAAACCGAGTTTGGCACAGTTTTTTTTTTTTTTTAATGTTTATTCATTTAGAGAGAGAGGGAGCGAGGGGTGCAGAGAGGAGAGAAAGAGAGAGAGAGAGAGAGAGAGAGAGAATCCCAAGCAGGGTCGACACTGTCGACTCAGAGCCGATTGTGGGGCTCAAACCCATGAACCCTAGGCTCATGAATTGAGTTGAGACCAGATAGTGTGGCTGGGAAGGCTGGCTAGAAATTTCTGGAAGACAGAGCTAGTGGTTCTTGCGTGCATTTGCTATTTCCATTTACAGTTAACTGCCAACCCAGCCTTTTTCAGGTAACTTCCCAGAAAGAAGCCTCATGTCACAATGTCTGGTGGCTGAGGGAAGGAGACCGATTCCTTTTAATTTTCAAGGTTTAGGTGGTATCAGAACTGCAAAACACATGCCCTGAGTCCACATTTCTTGCTCTCAACCCTCCGAAATCCCTGGGTCCCTGTGTTCTCCCAGATGACCCCACATTTGTTCAACTGATCTGGAGACGGGACAGGTAGACAACTTGGAGAAACTCGCCAAGTGACAGAAAATGAAGGCCTGGGGGCAGCTGGGCCAGCCTCCACTTTCTGGGGCTGCACTAGTGAGGACACTCTGGCGCTTGAATATCCAGAATTGCTTTTGGAGGTCACCTGGGAGTCAGGGAGGGAGTGGGACAGGAATATGTTGTTACTTTACACTAAAACCCAAATGTAATGACAGGCACCTTTGGAGGGCTACTTAAGAGGTAGAGCAAGTGAAAAAGTGTTAAGAGCCATTGCGTTCCCCCTGGAGAGCCGCAGCTGGCGAACACACCCATTTTCAAGACCGTGATACAGGTCTAGGCAGGGCCCTGCAGCCCTGGAGACGGGCTGGAGACGCGGAGTGAGAGGGAGGATCAGACAAAGAACCGGGGCTCTGGACCCCGCGGCACAGGGAGAGGAAGTCCCGCCTCTAGATGGCGGGCTTTTCAAATGTCACTGTGGCTGCTTACACCGGCAGCGTGACACTTGCCAGCAAGTGGCCACCAGGGTCGGCTTCGAGTCAAGGGACCAGAAGCCACCGCCCCTGCGCCAAGTCTGAGAAAAGCGACCAGGAGCTGCAGGGACTCGGGAAAGGAGCGCTAGGCGTTCTGTCCACTGCCGTTTACGCCGCTCGGGGCCGTCTGTAGCGCCTGTGACGATCACAGCCCCCTGCAGAGTCCCCCACCCGAGAACGGGTAACCGGCAACGGCGTCCAAGGGTTTCCAGTAACCTAACTGAACGTCCGGGGAGACCCCCAACGCGCGTCAGCGCACAGCTCCGCTGGTGAAAACGTGTGGCTCTGAAAAGAGCCTTTGGGTCGGAGCGGGCCTCCGGGCACACTCACTTGGAGCTGGTGTACTTGGTGACGGCCTTGGTGCCCTCGGACACGGCGTGCTTGGCCAGCTCGCCGGGCAGCAGCAGGCGCACGGCCGTCTGGATCTCCCGGGACGTGATGGTCGAGCGCTTGTTGTAATGCGCCAGGCGCGACGCCTCGCCCGCGATGCGCTCGAAGATGTCTTTGACGAATGAGTTCATGATGCTTATGGCCTTGGACGAGATGCCTGTGTCGGGGTGCACCTGCTTCAGCACCTTGTACACGTACACCGAGTAGCTCTCCTTGCGGCTGCGCTTGCGCTTCTTGCCGTCCTTCTTCTGCGCCTTGGTCACCGCCTTCTTGGAGCCCTTTTTCGGGGCAGGAGCGGATTTCGCAGGCTCGGGCATCTCAACAGTAGTTTCTTCTGAGAGAAGAGAAAATGGAGTCCTCGTCAGGATCCTGCTTATTTATAGTTAGCTGTATGCAAATAAGGAATCCGTTTAGCGACCTCTGATTGGTTGATTCGTCGTGTGACCTTCCTGCACATGATTGGCTCCAGTGCGACTGTCCCATTGGTCACGTCCTGAGAGTAGTTTCCCCCATTCAGACTGGATTCTTAACCTTTTTTGTAACAAGTTCATACTACTTTATGAACATTCCGATTACTTTGGTGATTAATTTTAGAAAGTAGAAGTTGCTCTCCCTTGTGCTTTGAATTGCCAAAACAGGCAATGCTCAGGTCTAGGTCACGTCTCCGATTTGCAAATCCCCCTGTACAGATCCTGGAAGAGGCGTATCTTTGCTTTTGAATCCGGGTTCTAGATCAGTGAGAGAGGGTTGAAGTCGCTGCCAGTGCAACGGGGAGCTCTTCACACACTGTCTTTCCTTTATTTTAAAATTTAAAGCACAAATCTGTAATGCAGAGAGAGAGAGGGGGGAAGAGAGAATCCCAAGCAGGCGCCAAACTCAGCGTGGAGCTTGATGCAGGGCTGGACTAGGGGCTCAATTCCAGGATCCTGAAATCATAACCTGAGCCCAAATCAGGAGTGAGATGCTCAACTGACTGAGCCCCCAGGTGCCCCTTGAGTTTTCATCACAGCCTCCTATACCACCACTTTCGTTGGTCTGCATCGTGGAGGAATGGTCTCATTTCCCATTGACCCTTGGTCCCTAATTTATTTCATCAGCTTTTATTTTCCTTTTCCCAGTAAGGACTGGCTACTCACATCATGGTCACTGGACCACCAGCCGGGTGTCATAAAGGAGCTGGTTAGAAATAGAATCGTAAGCCCCACCCCAGAGCTACAAATCCGATTGAATCTTGACAATATCCCCAGGTAATGGGTGAACACTGGAGTTTGGGAAGCACGATATAGGGCGCTGTCCATATGGTTGCCGGTATGTATTTTCACACATGTGGAGGAGTGAGCGGCCCTATAAAACAAAGAGCATAAAGGGGCACGTTTTAGTAGAATCCCTTTTATTTTCCATATTAAAAAAAACTATTTAGCCTTTTCAATTCTTTGTCTATGATCACTTGTTATTTATCAGTTTATATTATATTATATTTATATTATATTTATCAGTTTATATTAGTGTTGCCATTGGTTTTGTTAGTCTATATTAGCTTTGCCACTACTACTTCTTTATTAATTTACTAGATGGGAGTTTGTAGATCTTCATTATTTGAAAGCCATATTCAATTGAATTCATATTCTACTGTTGAGAGCCAAGAGTAAAGTCTATGTGCAATCATTTTAGGCATGTTGATTTCTCTAACTTTACTCAAATTTTTTCCTCCCCACGAGATTTCACTCTGAAAAGGGCATCTCTTTTTGCAAATATTTGTGACCATTTTTTGACACATTGCCTGGAAATACAAGACCTTTTATGATAGGAAAAGATGAGGTAAATAGGCCTAGAGGGGCCGAGGTCAATACTGGGTGTCCCTTAAGAATGTAAGGGACCCCACCTACTCCCCCCCTCAGGCTTCCCTCGGGAATTTGACAAAAGACCTGACTTAAAGTAGGTAGAAGACCAGAAAACATTTGATCCACAAGGCCTGGTATGGCCTTAGACTACACACTAGTGAACTTGGAGAGTCGAGCCAATCAGCAATGGAACCCAGCACACAGAGTTGTGGTTGAGTGTCTGCTTTCAGCTCAAGTCATGATCTTGCAGTTCTTGAGTTTGAGCTCCATGTCGCTCTCTGTGCTGACAGCTAGGAGCCTGTAGCCTGTTTGGATTCTATGTGCCTCCCTCTCTCTCTGCCCCTCCCTATCTCTCTCTCAAAAAGAAATGGATATTTTTTTTTAAAAAAAAGCAAAATTGAACAATGTGCTTTCAAATAAGTGAATTTCTCTGGTGGATTTATTCCCCATAAAAATTCTCTCCGGATCCAAAAAGAGTGATTTTTACATTTACATAAAATGTAACTCTAAAATAATGGTAGCTATTAACTTACATGTAATAGTTTTGAGTCGTTTTGCTGTACGACTGTGGCCTCATGGAAGTCTTACAAGATCTCATGTGCCTTTCCCAGAAAGCAGTATGTTAGAGTTTCGGAACGTGTTCAGTATTTTATCTTTTTATGATATTTACAACATTTTTATAAACCAAAAAAATGTGTGTATACATAATGTGGATTAGAAAGTGCTCTTCTTATTTGAGTCTGAAAATACATCATGAATGGACTTTTATAATAATAAAGAAAAATTAGAATGAGGGGGAAATGTTACCAAGAGGCAGCAAGTATGGCAATATTAATATTAAACAAATTTCAAAGCTCAAAGTATTAGTGGGCATAGAAAGGTACACACTAGATTGGACGTTTACAACCAATGTGGAAAACAAGATATTCTGGAAAGCCGCCCTGAAGCAAAATAGCTAAGGGCTAGATAAACAACAAAAACACTCTAGCACATTATGGCCCAGATCACAAGACACCAAGGAAAACTCCCCAAATCTCTCAGAACAATAAATACCTCGGAGCTGATGCCAGCCTGCTAAGCAGGCCAGATTTGGTTCCCAGCGGCAAATGCCATTATCAAGATTCTGCACTTTGTGGATCAATGTCAGCCTGTCGGGGAAATGAGGATTCTCCGCCTTTAAACTCAACTAGAGATATTGTAGCAAAAAGCCAGGGCTCTTTGAGAAAACAAAGGCTTGTAGGGGGAAAAAAATCTAGCAAAGATCCTTAACAGGAAAATCTGTTTGTCTCCGCAGGGCTCTATGGAGGAGGGTAGAGGAAATTTGCTACAAGGATTTCACCATAGACCTACTTAGAGTCGAGAGTTAACGTGAAAGCTTCCTGACGTTAAAATGTTGTGGTCTTCTGCGCCCCCTAGTGCATGAAGGCAAACTCACACACCAATTTAGGAGGGAATCATCTTGAATTCAAGTTCTCTAGATACACATAAGTTACTTATTTATTTCCTATTCGGCAATTATTTATTTATTGAGCACATATTATGTTCCAGGAATTTGAGATGTTCAAATACAAACTCATAATAAATGTGACCTAATCTAGGGGGATAACAGACGCTTTGAAGAGTCAGGCTTTTAGGTTCAAATCCACTCCTCTTCCTTGCACAAAGAATTTCAGATATTGAAGTTATCAGATGGAGACTAGAAAATATTTCCTGAACGCTGAAAAAAATAAAAATGAAATAATACAGTCTAGGAGCCAGGGACAATCAAAACCAGACCTGTGGAAAAAAAATTAATGAAATAGAACTTAAAAAAATTTTTTTGTCTTTATTTTGAGAGACAGAGACAGAGAGTGAGTGGGGAGGGCCAGAGAGAGAGGTAGACACAGAATCTGAAGCAGGCTCCCGGCTCTGAGCTGTCAGCACAGAGCTGGACGCGGGGCTGGAACCCATGGACTCTGAGATCATGACCTGAACCGAAGTCGGACCCTTAACTGACTGAGCCACTCAGGCGCCCCATGAATAGAACTTCTAAAAATGAAAAAAAGCTATATTTCATAATGATAAAATAAAAATCAACTGATAAGATGTAACATTTAGGGCCTTGATGGACCTGACCGCATAGCCACTAACTGTGGATGGCAGTAACTTCCAGAAATCATAGGAGAACTTCAGGTTTACAAGTGTGGGGCAAGCTTTCAATACACTTCTTTTAGAAACTCACATAACAACCAAGGAAAATGTTTATGGTTATAGAAGCTTGAACAGCACAATGAACGAACTTCATCCATCTGTGATTTCTTCACTTAACACATAGCGGATTTCTGAATTTTTCAAAGTACCCATTTAATAATTTCAGATTTTCAACACTGGCTTCAGAAAAAAGGAACAATACATATCAGAAAATCAGTTTCCTATATAGTGCGCTCTTATAATCTAACTAAGGAGCAATAGAAAGAACTCTTTTTTTAGGGATAGTAAAATGAAACAATCTTCTCATATTCTTGGAAACTGAAAGCACATTTCTAAATACGTGGATTAGACTGGATATCATTAAAGAGGGTATGTAAGAGAAATAACTATGAATAAACTTAACCAAGGAGGTGAAAAACTTGTGCTCTGAAAACTCTAAACATTGATGACGAAATTGAAGATGACACCTATAGTCGAAATACATTTCATACATCACATGCTCATGGAGTGGAGGGATTAATATTGTTGAAATGTCCATACTACTCAAAGTAATCTACAGAGTCGCCACAATTCTATATTTTTTCCAGAGTCACTGCAATTCTTGACAAAGTGCTAACAGTATTTCCCACAGAACTAGGATACATAATCTTAAAATTTGTATGGAACCACCAAAGACCTCAAGTAGCCAAAGCAATCTTCAGAAAGAGGAACGAAGTTGGAGGTATCATGATCCTAGATTTCAAGATATACCACAAAGCTATATTAATCAAAACAGTATGGTAATGCCACAAAAAGTAGGCAGATAGATGAATGGACTGGATAGAGAGCTCAGAAATAAACCAACTGTTATGGTTAGTCAATCTATGACAAAGAAGGCAGGGATACACAACCAGCTATATGCAAAAGAATGAAGCTAGACTGCTTTCTTACATCATATACAAAGATAAACTCAAAAATGGATTATAGACCTAAATGGAGACCTAAAACTATAAAACTCTTAGAAGAAAACACAGGCAGTAATCTCTTTGACAAGCTATGTCTTAGCAACATTTTTCTAGTCATGTCTCCTGCAGGCCAGGGAAATAAAAGCAAAAATAAATTATTGGGACTACATCTATATCAAAGGCTTTTCACAGAGAAGGCAACCAACAACAAAATGAAAAGAGAACCTGCTGAATGGGAGACAATGTTTGCAAATGACACATCTGATAATGTGTTGATATCCGAGTTACATATAAAGAACTTACACACTCAGCATCAAGAATAATAATAAGGTTTTTAAATGGGCAGGCAATGTGTAT